TTTCTTGGGGACACAGTTCACCCCACCACAGGGACCATGTGCATTGGCACTTATTCTCCAGGAACCCCAATACTGTCAATAAGCTTGAGCTAGCCCCTGCAAGGGGAGACATGGCCCTGTGACCATGGCTCCCCAGCCTGACAGCCAAGGCTCCCAAAGCAGAGCCACCAGCTAACCTATAGCTGGCTGCAGCAACATGAGGAAGTCCTGCCAGAGTCAAATAAATGACCCAGATGAGGCCAGCCTACATTTGGGACCCAACAGAATTATGAGATGACACAGGATTAGAAGTGTCTTGTTATGTAGAAGAAACAAAAGATAAACTTGATTCCAGGGGTCAAGGTAGTTCCATGGGTCCCTTGGCCTCCTAAATCTAGGGGGTTCTTGGGGACGTATCCTTCCCCTGGAGGTACAGAAACAGATGGCCAGTTTCAACATGGCGCATTTCAAGACTTTGCTTGCTTCATGCTTGCCAAATCCCAAAGGGCACCCGAGCTCCCCTACTCAGCCCCACCATCAGCAGGGCAAGAATGTGTATTGCACCCCTTGCCAGAGAAGGACACCTGGGCAGGGTGTCTATGGAGCTTTGCAACTCCAAGTGCACACACGCCATCCTGCGTTGGGGAAGACCTGTTTGATAACAGCAGTGAGGACAGGGCTGATGGCGTAACAGGGGTGGCCTAAGCCAAGGCCTAGACAAGCATCGTCTCATTAAGATGTGATCACCTGGCATGGTTGGTATTATTCTATTTAATTGATGAGCAAACAGGTAAAGATAGATCTGTGACTTGTCCAAGCACACGGCAGGGGAAGGGTGCTCCCTGTGACATCACAGCAGGGTGGCTGTAGAGCCAGCTCCAGCCTCCTCTTACCCGTGCTGCCTGTTCTAAGCACCCCGCTGCCTGGGGATCCAGACTGCAGCACTGGGTAGTGCCACTCTTTTGACCGAAAGGCCCTTGATCTAAGTGTCCCTGCTGAGAAAAGGTGTTCAGAGAAGTGCTGCTCCCAGCTGCTTTGGTACAGAGTGCTTGGAGCTGGTGATCTTGACCAGCCCGGGGTGGGGGGGTGCACCCCTTCTCTCCTTCCTCCCTCCCCCGCCTGCCCTGCAGCCAGGGTGAGCTTTCTAAAGAGTCAGAGTCAGCCACCTGTCTCTCCTGCCTCCACAAGCACCTAGGGCAGTGGTGGTGAGCCTATGGCACACGTGGCGCAGTGAGCTGTTTGTATCGTTGAAATCCCTAAGAGGCTCGCCATTGCTGCTTTGGATGATACCGTCCTGCAGTTTAAAACCCCGAGCATGCAAACCTTTAGGACTAAAGCCACCCTCTGCCACACTCTGGTGATAGACGGGCTCCCCACCCTGCCCCTGCACATACACACAGATAACCACACTCCTTTTTTTTTTTTTTTTCTACAGAATTACTTTATGGATATACAAGCAAAAATGAATACAGTTTCTTTCACCTCCCCATCTTTTTCTAAACACCTAACCTCGCACCTTGTACACGATCTTCCAAGCTCGTCTCCCCCACTTAATGCACCTTGGCAATTTTTCCATCTTGGGACAAGGAAAACTCTCTTGTTTGTCCTTTACAGCTGCAGAGTACCTCACTGTCTGAGTGGGCTGCCACCTCCTATGTAAGTCCCTGTGCTGAGGGACGTTTGGGGTCTGCAGTTCTTTGCTATACCACAAGTCTTCGGTGAGTGACTTCTGCACTTAGCCAGAGTAAGTTTATCTGCGGGATTAGTTCTCAGAAGCAGGATTGCTGAGTCAAACAGGCCATGTGGTTATAATCCAGATAGTTACTCCCAATTCCTTTCCATGGCGGGACCAGCTTATAGTCCCACGGGCAATGCACAGGAGAACCTGTTTCCCTGCCCCTCACCAGCAAACCTAGCTTCTTGCCAACCAAATAGGTAGGAAGTGTCATTCTGCCTTTAAAATCCTTTTATTGAATCTCCAAGCCCCTCGGGGTAAATCTCCACATCCCTGGGCTTGAGATGAGCCCGGCCCTGTCCTTTCTCAAGGCTCATGGCTGCCACGGAGGAGGACAGGGACACAGCTCAGATCGTTGGCTGCAGCCTTAGCACGGGGCACTTCCCTGGAGGCATGATGAGGGTTCCCAAGGATGACAGGCAGGCACTCAGAGCAACTGACTCTCACGGACATCTCCTGGACTCTGAGGGAGATGTCCACTCCCTTGGCTTCCCGAGTGCCCTTGGTCCCTCCTCCATGCAGGGATGTGCCACCTCAGCAGGCAGGATGCCTGCACATCCTCGCGGACCCCCAGCTGGCTGCTGTGCCCGAGTGAGCAAAGAGCATCTCATTAAGTGTGGCAAAGCTCATTAAAACTGCAGCTGCACACCGGCAGCCATGGAAGGTCAAGGTTCTCTGCATGGGAGTTGGTGCCTCTGGGACCCTGTGGCATCAGCAGTCACTAACCAGATGATGGATGACCCACATGTAGGTGAGGAGGCAGCCAGCTGTGTGGTCAGAGTTTCCTGGAGTGCCCAAATCGTCACCCGGGGTGTCAGGATGGCCGAGTGGTCTCAGGCGCCAGACTCAAGGTATGAACCAAATCGTCACCCAACTCCTACTCCCAGGCTTGTTCCACTCTCCTCTGGGAGGCAGGCTGGAAGCGGGACAGATTAGTCACCATTCAGGGTCACCAGAGACAATGACAAACCTATTTGGGTGCAAAGATGCAGATGGGAAGTTCAAAAATTGTCCCCTCTCTGGGGCCCAAGTGTAACATGGAACCCAACCTTAGGGGTCCTGAGGGCCAGAGCAGTCGCACAGGTGCCAGGAAGCCCTAGCCACCTCAGAGGAGGTGGCAATAGCAGGCAGAGTGGCCTCCTCTACACTCATCTACCCACTCATACCCCCAGGTCACCGAAAAGGTAGAAGCCAAGGGGAAGGAGGAGGAGCTGGCCCTTAAAAGTAAATGGGCCAAGATTGGGCTCTTTATGGAGTGGCTTCATGCAGGCTGCATGCAAATGATATACAAACAGACCCACCTCCACATCACAGCTGTGTCACTGCGAGGGTCTCAGAACAAGGACTTGAGATGACAGCCCTTGCTTCAAGTAGGTGTCCTGACCACTTGCGGGCCCCTCCCCCCTCCCCTGAGCTCCTCCCATAAGCCTCATGCTCTACAGGGAGCAATGGGCATTTGGGTGAGGCCAGGCCTTGCTGATGTGGCCCCTACACGAGGACCATGTGGCCCCAGGTCTATGCTGCGAGTGTGCCCCGGGCCAGGACCCTTCCCCTCTGCCATGGCATTCTGTGCAAAGAAGGAAAATACAACTGTGCAGTGTTTTACAAACACAAGAGGTTTCCTTTTGGGTTTTGAAGAATAGGCTTCTGGATCTTACCACCAGCCTCGGACCTCCCTGTAACCACCATCTGCCTTTGTGACAACTACAGCGAGAAGCCGTCTGCATTGGGGACCAAGCATAGCTCACCAGTCCCTAACTGCATGATCCAGGCCAGTCAGCGTCTCAGACCCCACGTGTGGAATGGGTATGAGAGCAACTACCTCTCCGAGTGAGCCCATGAGCTGCTCTGAGCTGAGCCGGCCACATGATGAAGTGTGCCCCCCTCCACCCCAAGGAAATGCTGAAGTCAATCCCGGCACTGCTGAACCAGGGCAAGTTTAGATACCGAGGCTTTGTTGTCAATCAAGTTAAAGTGAAGGCATCAGGGTAGGCCCCACTCAGGGTGATGGATGTCCCTCTTACAACAAAGGGAGGAGCTATGAACAGAAACACAGAAAAGGTGGACATGTGGATGAAAGCAGAGCCTGGAGTGATGGATCCACAAGCTGATCATGATGCCAGCACAAGCTGGAGAGGCCCGGGACATCCAGAAGGAGCCAGCCCTGCCAGCCCCTTGATTTTGGACATGCACTCTCCAGAACTAGGAGAGGGACTCGCTTCCACCAGGCAAGCCAACAGCTGGGGCTTTGTTCTGGTGGTCACAGAGCCAAATGTCAGCCCAAGAGCACCCAGCGCAGTGCTGGGCACCAGCTGGCACCACTAACGGCTTCTTTGATTTCCCCCCATGGAGGGTGGGTCTAGGGGTCTGAGATCCCTTCAGCAAGCACCAAGCACTGCTCCCCACTAGGTGGGCAAGGGCCGAAACAATGGTGCACATCTGTCCTTGGTACCATCCTACGTTTCTTTCTTACCCTCAGGGATTTGGCCCAGCTTGGGGTGTCCAACTCCACTGTGTACCCCCAAAACAGAGCCAGGCATTCAGAAAGCTCACAAATAGCCCACCAGAGGAGCCAGATGGGCCCGTGAAGACAGAAACAGCTCAGGCGCACCTCGTATGGCAGAGGTCCCCAGGGCACCTGTGACCTTGTCCTCAGGAGGGTAGGACTCACTCCCCCTCCACACCCATCCGAGGCCAGGGCCAGCTCTGTACCAGGCTCTGGCTGGGCGGCAGCAAGCACTCAGCTCTTTCAATTGAAGAATGGGATGGAGCCAACGATGCTTCAAATGCTTGTGTTAATAGCAGCGGTCTGCAGTTTCATTTCACTTTAATAGAAACCATCTGCCGTGAGCAGGCGGCAGGCACGGCCAACTCTTCCCACAAAGGCTGCCCCCCAAAAGTCCACCCTCAGAGCTGCATCAGGGGAGTGGGGCTTGGGCGTGTGGGGAAGGTCATGCTGAATCCTGTACCCCAGGAGGGCCTCAGAGGCGGCCCCAGGCTGGGGCCAGGACTGGGACATGCACAACCCCAGGGCAGTTCCTCTGTCCTCCCTGGGCTGCAACAAAAGGCCTGGAGAGGATGCAGGTGTCACCCAGCACTGGCCCAGGATGCGGGGAGGGGACAAGGAGCAGGGTGTGAGGTCTCCACCCATGAACACACTGTGCTCTTGCTGCAGAGGCACTGGAGAGGCCCGGGCTTGGTGGCACTGCTGGCTCTATGCTGACCCAGACCCAGGACAGTCACTGTGCCTCAGTTTCCACATATGTAGAATGGAGCACCCGAAACCCCTACTCCAGAAGGTTGTGAGCACTGAACATATGCAGGGCGACCCCAAGGTATCACCTGTTCCCTGGCACTGTGGACAGGGCCCAGCGAGGCGGCTGTGGCCCGGCTGGGCATGGTGACAGCTGATGTCAGGACCAGCTCAGCTTTGGCTGTGAAGACCACATTGTGGGCCATGTGGTGTGGGCTCCAGTGTGGCCAGGCTGGGAACAAGTAGAGCTGGTGGAGCTGGGCTGGGAAGCAAGGACCTCTGGGGTGGGCTGGTCCCTGCCCTCTGGGCCAAGGTGCAAAACGAGTCAGGACCCAGCAGGGCTATAGGGCCGCCCCGCTGGGCAGGGGGATCTTATAGCCACTGTGCAGGAGGACGAGGCAGGCACCCAGCCCCAGGGCCCCTGCCAGCAGCACGGCACCCAGAGCCTTGAAGAACGAAGTCCTGGTCCGGGTGAAGGAGCCGGGGGCCATGACGCCCAGCAGGGCAGTGCTGACGGTGAGTGTGTAGAGGATGGACACGCCCGTGTTGAGCGCCACGATCTTGCCGAACTTTGCAAATGGGGCGATGACGCAGAAGAAGAGCGGCACGGTGGCGATGACCGTGGTGAGGGCGCTGGACACGATAGCCACGCCCACATGCCGCACGGCCTCCAGCGTCCGCCACTGGCGCTGCGCCCGGGGGTCCTGGGGCAGCGGAGAATGAGAGCTGAGTCCCAGCCCACTAGGACTCTCTAGCCCAGCATGCAGCCCTGCCCCCAGATCCCCCCACCCCCTGAATCCCTGTCCTGTAAGCGGATGACAGGAGGGTTGCTTCACAGGGTGCAGTGAATGCCGCCCTTTGTCGGGGGTTGGAGGTTGGGGGTCTGCAGAACTGAGGTCCTAACTGGAGCCTTTGTTTTTTGACGTGCTACTGGGGATCCCAGGCTTCCTGCATGCTCAGCAAGCATTCTGCCACTGAGTTACACCCCCAGCCCTTGTTATATATTGAAAGGGTCTCACTAAGTTGGCCAGGGTTGTCTTGAATTTGTGATCCTCTTGCCTCAGCCTCCTGATAGCTGGTATTTTAGGCAAGTGAGACCACCCTTGGCTCAATTTTGTTCTTTTGGCCAAAAGCCACTAAATGACTTACTGTTTTACATGTTTATGAATGTCTTGATACCAATTCAATTCCAAACTAGGCAAAAAGCAAACACACAAATGAAGTCACCAGGCCTGGTTTTGGCTCTGAGTTCATGAGCCAAACAGAGCTTGCTCTCTGGGGAGACCAAGGCTGTGGACACAGACCTGCCTTGGGCCCTGTGGTGCCCTCTGCTGCGCCGGCATTCTGTGTGTTCTGGGGCCATGCAGGCCAGCACTGGGAGCCCTCAGTCCTAGAACATGGCCTGCTTAGGACACAGCTGTGCTGGGGAAGCAGGAGGCGCTCACCTCAGCCTGGTGCGGGGGCAGGTTCTCTCCCGCCAGCAGGTAGCCCTCCACCAGGTGCACGCAGTAATCCACGGAAGAGCCAACCAGGATGGACAGGGAGATGGCTTCCACGGCACCCATCTCCCAGCCGCTCCAGTACATGATGGTCACCACCAGGCAGACGATGCCTGCAGGGGTGGTGGGGTGGCGGCTGGGACCAGGCCTCCCACATGGCCCTGGAGGGCCCGTGAAGAGTGGGCTCGCCTCCAGCTAAGCTTCCACCTTGGGTAACAGGAAGGACAAAAGCCCAGGCTGGCGGGAGGGAGACAACTACAGAACTGAGCTGAACGCTACTCTACAGGGACACCTGGCTCCTCCTGAGGTACACATCCCGAAGCCACAGGCACTGAAGGTGGCATTTCTTGCCTGGGTGGTGGTGATAGTGAGGGCATCTTGCTGACTGAAAGCCCCCAGGGAGACCCTGCCTATTCCTGCTCCCCTCCAGCCCAGCCCATCACCCCCTCACCCACCTACCCAGGATGCTTAGGAGCACAGGCAACAGGAGCAGAATGTGGGTGGTGAAAATGGCCACTGCAGCCACACAGATGAGCAGGGAGAGGACCAGGCCGTACAGGGCACTCTGCACTCCTGTGAGGGGAAAGGTCGTAGGGGTTCACAGATGGGTGCTCCCCACCAGCTGTGCTGCTCTAGGCCTTGTAATGTTTCTCCAGGGACAAGACCAGCCCCCTCCCACCAGAAGTTCCAGAGCTAACACTGGGCCTGGAACCTTAAAAGGGCTTGTAACAACTGCTGCCTTGTAGGTGGCCAAATTCAAGACCAGACAGCATAGCCAGAAGCCTCTAAGCAGGAAGCCTCTGATCAGGGTCGGTTACTGTGTGACGTTGCCCCAGGGCTCTTGGCCAGGACTAGGGACAACAGCATGGCTCCCGGAGGCCGCCCTTCCTGCTCCACGCCCACCCTCCCTGTGCTCACCTATGATCTCCATGAAGATCTGCTTCCAGTGCTCACAGGTTTGGAAGCCGCGGTGCAGGGCTGAGCCCTCTGGGAGAGTCTGAAGCTGTTGCCGGAGGAAGCTCTCCCAGCGTAGGTAGTCTGAGTAGGTCTGGAAGGAGGACTTGCCCTTGTATGTGGTCTGCGGGGACAGGGCGGGTGAGACAGGGGGCTATGGCCTGCCTGCCCTGCCTGCGCTGGGGTCCCTATGGAGCCTGTGGGTTATGGGGGGGGTAGTGACGATCCAGCCCCACAGAGCTGCATCAGCCTCTGGACATAGCATCCGGGCCTCACGGTGGTGGCATGCTCTTGGCTTTTCCCAATAGAACCACTTCAGCTCCCAGAAGCCCTTGCGCTCCCCACCTACAACACCATAGGGATCTGGCCTGGCTAAATATGGAGTCTGTGACCATCTCCAGGGTCAGCTTGGAGGTGATGCCCTGTCCTGGACTCCTGAGCACAGGAACCTTCTCCTTCAAACTCAAGAGGGGAGGAGTCCTTCCTGAGCTACCCCAGGGTGAGCCCTGGGGACTTGACACTGATGGATAGGACAAGTCTGGGCGGCTCCACTTAGGTGAGACAGCTAGAGTAAATACAGAGGGTGTGGAATGGGGATGCTGGGGCTGGGAGGAGGAACTGGGGAGCTGGTGTTCAACGGGACAGTTTTAGCTGGGGAAGATGACAAGCTCTGCAGATGGATGGCAGTGACAGTCACACAAGAGTCCTTTGTACCACTGAACTGTGTACCAAGAACTGGTTTAGTCAGTAGGTTTGATACTATATGTTTTACTGCAGTAAATGAACAAACACCTATACTGAAGGGCCTATCTGGGGCTCTGTTCTGGCCTCTGCATTAGCTTGGGGGCTCAAAAGAGGTGTAAGCATCTTGGGGTGTTTCTGCCCAGGGCCTGGAGGTTCAGCTGCCTATGAAGGGAGTGACACAGATGCCATGAAGGGAGAAGGGATGAGGGCTGGAGAAGAGGCATTGTCTGTCACTTGTCACCTGGTCTCTATTTTTCTTACCCCTAGAGCTTTCCCTGCTATTTCCTGTGGCTGTGGGGAGGGGGCTTCAGGCCCATTCTGCACATGAGGATATGTTCAAAGTCACTGTGCACTGTCCCCTCCAGCTCAGGGGAGGACTGGCCAAGGGTCCCTGCATGGAGATAGCAGAGACAGCCTTGTCAAGCCTCAGAGAGCAAAGCAGGGCCCAGGTTGGAAATGTGCATGTGTGTGTACCTGTGTGTGCGCATGCGTGTGTGTGTCCAAATGTACATGTTAGTGTGTGCAGGCATCTTCATGGGCAAAGCCCCAAGTGTCCAGAGGTGACAAGTGAGGTAGGGAGACATGTAGGTAGTTGTTAAATCCTCCATGGTCACCTGGTGAGGCCCATCACATCTGTGGCCTTGACCTTGAACTCACAGTGGCGTAGGGCACTGTCCCAGGCTCCTATCAGCCTACAACTTGGTGGCCCCACAATGACATGAACCTGGTCAGCAGCGAGGAAGGATGGAACTCTGCAGCCGAGGACTGGTCTGTCACTTGATGCTGATACCCGCTAACACTGTGACCTCAGGCAAAGTCCTCAGTACCCCTCTTGGGTCTGATATGACACTGGCTGAAGACAAGCACTGGGTGTGGTACCAGGGTGCAGTCTGGCTCACCGACTCGAAGGCCATGGAGATCCACTGCACACGGCCCTCCTTGACGCCCACTGCCCCATGGGACAGCTGCCCCGGAAGCAGGTTGGGCTCAGGCAGCTCCTTGCACTCCGGATGCAGCATTCTCAGGAAGGTGGAGATGCTGTAGCCTTCAGGGATGGGGATGGGGTGCTGGTGAGAAGGGGGTGGGGTGGCCCAGCCCACCCACCACAACTGCCACCCAGGTGTCCAAAGAACCTGTAACTACTGGCAAACCTGCCACACACATCTGCCAGTGGGTGGACAGTGGCATGTGGGGCCCTCTCAGGGACAGCCTGGATGCAACTTGTGAACCTTCCTGTGGCAGCCCTCACCATGCATGGTCATGAGGCCTGGCTCTGCACTCCCAGATCCCACCCACACACCTGAGGGCAGGCACTGGGCCCCGCCTGGCTTCACCAGCTCCGAGTTGCCCGCGATGGCCTTGCAGAGGCGACACAGGTGCCCGATTTCTTTGAAGAGGTCAAAGCTGCTATCATAGATGACACTGCCCTTTCCAAAGGAGACACAGCCGGCCCGGGCCCCTCAGTGAGACGGAGACTGGGTCCTGGGCTCCACCTCTACCACCCTCCCTGGTGTCAGGTGGCTCTCTGCTACCACCATCAATATCATGCAGCGACCCTCAGCATGTCCCTATCAATCTGGCTTGGTCTTGGCTTAACCTGCGCTTCCCAGAGCATCTGCACCCAGCTAAGCACTGCAGCACGAGTGGAGGGAAGGGGACGTTATGAGACAGGGAGGGGCGAGGCTGCCACTCTAGGTGCAGGACAAGACAGGGACTCTCTGTGTACCACTCATCTCTGTCCCAGACCCTCAGGGGCCCTAAGCATCAGTCACCCCAACTCCTGGATGATTCTAAGTCTGCTCTGTTCAGTAGTCCAGGGGGCGGGGTTCCCAGCATCTTGTCTGTGCTGGAGGAGCCGAGGAGCTGCGTACCGGGTCTCCAATGACGTGGTTGTCCACCTGTCGGGTTCGGTTGATGCCAACAATGCCAAAGACCACAAAGACCATGGCCCCAGTATCTACCAGTGGTCGCACCGCAGGTTTTCCACAGCCTGTGTTCATGCAGGGGTTGAAGCCGAATGTGGCGGAGAGGCGGGCCCTGGGCACTGCAGCGGGAGCCAGGGCTGTAAGGTGGGGAGGCCTGGGTCCCTGGGTCCTCAGCCCCACAGGAGTAGCCCAGGTAGGTACCTTTCTCATTGGGCACGTAGAAGGAGCCTTTGGTAGGCCCGTCAGGGCTGGAGCTGAGCAGGCAGCCGGGGGGCGCTGTGCACACGCGCCCGTGGAAGGGGGGCTTGTGGGACTGGGCAAAGTACAGCTTCCTGTGGAGGCAAGGGAGGCCCGGGCTGAGGCTGCAGGCGGGGCTGGGGGTCTTCAGACCCGTCTCATCCCACCCCTGCCCAGGGAACAGGGACACAGTGTGCTCAGATTGTCTTCCGGCGGGCACAGGGGCTTCCAGCCCCACCTCAATTAGGAGCTATCTGAGACGGCCCCTTTGCAAGCAGCCCACTGACCATCAGACCTGATGGAGTTGACAGCTCTTTGTGGAACATTTCATGCTCGCCCTGGCCCCTGTGTGCGTGCAGAGCCAGCTGCACCCCGGAAGGGACGCACTTCAAGCCAGGTCAGCCACCCTGACCGCAAGCTGCACCCTCTGCCTCACATTTTAGCCTTGTGTGGGACCCTGAGGGCCTGAGGCCAGTCCCATCAAAAATCCTGGTCCCCACGTGTCACGGTGCAGAACGGAGGTGCTGTGTGCTCATGCTGCTGGTCACTTGTTAGCCACCTGTCTCCTGTGGGTGGCCCAAGGGCAGTGGCTGCATCTGTGTGGCTCATCCTTGTCCCCCAACCCCACAGAACCAGTGAAAAAGACGTGGTCTGAGAACACGGGCATGTTAGGGCCTGGGGAATGCAATGGAGGACGGGCTGCCCTGGGGCCTTGGAGGCCCAAAGGCAGAGAATGAAGCCTCTGGTCCTTTGGCCATTGGGCACCGACAGCAGGCCAGGCCCTTGGCAGGGACTCACTACACAGCAGGTAGCTACAACAGACATGGTTCTTCACTCTGTTATAGCCTGGAGGAGGGCAGAGAGTTGTCACTTTCCTCAGTGTGGAAAAAATACACAGTGTAGGTCCACCCTAGGAGGAAGTGTTGCAAGAACTTGCTTCTGCATTGGACAAAGATTTACTGAGCACCTGTTGCATGCCAGTCACGGCCTGGGCCTTGGGGACACATATGGGGCAAACCCACCAACGTGCCCTGTAGGTTGGGGACTGCTCCCAGGGAAAGACAGGTCACAGTAGGGACAGGGCCAGAAAGAGCAGCAGGTGATACATGGAAAGAGTGGGCAGGTGACTCTGGATGAGGGACTTCTACTCAGGGTAGCCTCTCCAAGGACCTGAGGTTTGGGTGATACCCGAATCTCGAGAGGTCAGGCACACAGGAGCTGGAAGAGCATTCCGGGTGCAGGGGATGCAAGTGCAAAGGCCCTGGGGTGGAGGCCTGACTGCAGAGCAGTGACACAGCCACTATGACCCTGGTAGAGCAGCCGGGGACAGCAGTGGAGTGGGTGGGTGGGTTACAGGCCTGTCCTCTTCGCCCATGTCCCCAGCCCCAGGCCTGGGCACAGAGACATCTGGACAGGTATGTGGAATAGATAGCAGCTTCCTGGAAGTGCTTGGTGACATCTTTCATGTGAAGCAGAGAGAGAGAGAGAGAGAGACAGAGACAGAGACACAGAGACACAGAGGGACAGAGCGGGCTCATCTGCGAGGCTGTTACCGGGTGTGCTGTTGCTCCTTGGCGGCCACGTAAAAGCTGAAGTCAAACTTCCAGCCCCGCTTGGCGTCACAGGCCAAGGTCGTCACCACCCACTTGCGGGAGGGGCTCGCGGCCTGGAGCAGCCCTACTGTAGACATACAAGCGGTCAGCTTCTTGGTGAAGTCACCAAAAGGCGCTCTATACACCTAAGCAGTGGATCGACAGAGACAAGACACGTGACTCGGGGAGGCTGCCTTGGCCCAGCCCGGCCTCAGGGTTGGTCCCCTCCCTCCTCGCTGTGCCCCCTGCCCCTGGCCCAGCGTGAGGACAGTGCTCCGGGCAGAGGCCCAGGAGGCCTGGGTTTGAGTCTGAAAACTGGGAAAATCCTTTTCCTCCCTATGAGCCTCGTTTCTTCCTTCACCAAATGTTCGCTGTGTATCAACTCTGTGCCAGGCAAGGTGCCAGGTTCGAAGGGCTCAGTGGTGAGTGGGATGGGCAAGTTCTACTCCTCATGGAGCTGGGATGTAGGATGGGCAGAGACCCGACCTGATTTGGGCCAGGGCTGGCTTTAGACAAAGTGACCAGATGATCAGAAGGTGAATGGCAGGGAAAAGAAGGGCCTTGAGGAGGGTGGCCAGGCAGTAGGAGAGGGGACATCTGTGTCCCAGCCTGGCGAGGACTCAAGAGACAGCTGCCCACGGAGCTGTGGGAGACTTGGGCAGAGGTCATGCAGAGAAGGCCAGCTGGGAGCAGCAAGGGAAACAGAGACCTTGGCCCACGGGGGCACAATGTGTCGTTGTCGCCTGGGGTGTGGCATGTTCAAGGAACGCAGGATCAATCCCTGCGAAGGGAAAAAGGAGTCTGGACTGGGCCAGGGAGGCTCCTTAGGGCACCACAGCTGCTGCCGAGAACACGAGGATGTGCTATCGGACACCACTCACAGCTGTTGGCTATGTCCCCGTGTGCACCACGCAGGCCTTTGCCTCATACCTCCAACGAGGCCAACTGGTGCTGTTTATATCCCCATTTCAGAGAAGTGGAAACTGAGGCTCAGAGAGATGAGGTAATCTGCCCAAAGACACAGAGGTTAAACAAGGCAGAGTCAGGACTCGAACCCAGACCAGGCTGATCTGGAACCCCTGGCTGCTACCACTCTGCAGGCGGCTGTCACAGGCCTGGATGACAGGGGGTAGGGGGCATCCTTATCTGCTTGTAGCAGCCCCATCCTTAAGGACAGGGGTCCCCAGTCCCCAGCCACAGAAGGGTATGGGTTACAGCAGGTGAGCGCCGGTAACAGCCCTGCCCTGTGGCTCGCTTGAGCCCCTGAATTCTGTCTCCTTGCAGATCAATGGGAATTAGATTCTCATCGGAGTGCAGACCCTACTGCAAACAGCATGTGCGAGGGGTGTAGGTCCTGCCTTCCTTATAAGAATCTAATGTAACAACAATAGCAATAAAGTGTGCACTGAACATAGTGCGCTTGAACCATCCGGCAATCACACCCTCCCTGGTCCACGGAAAAACTGCCTTCTGCCAAACCAGTTCCTAGTGCCAACAAGGTTGGGGATGCTGCATAAGGACCCACTTCCCCCTTGCAGTGTGGCCCTCGCCCACCCGTGTGGCCCCCAGGTCCCTCCTCAGTGGCAGTGTCCGCTCACTTCACGACAGCCCAAGCTCACCTGGAAGGAAGGCACCTCTCCATCCCCAGGGGACACGGCCTGCCATGGGGCGGGCATGCTGGCATTGAGGGACAGCCTGTAGACAGCAGGGTGGCCTTTACTCTTCACCTTGGAGATGTACACAGTACCCACTGAATCTAGGGACAAACGAAGAGTGGACAGTCACCTGTACAGCCTGTGGGCCGGGAGCAGCCCCGCGTTAGCTCTGCAGGCCAGTGGGTGGGCCTGGGCTAGGACTGGTCTCCAAGTGCCAGCTCTGTCCCTCTGTACTGGACCATGTCAGCGATGACAGAGGTGGTGGTGGCATGGATAATGGGAATGGCAGTGATGGGGAGAGAGGAGGTGGCCCTGATGGGCATGGGTGGTGATGGGGACCATGGTGTGAACAGTGGGGGGGTGTTGGTAATGGCCACAGAAGGGTTCTCAGAGATGGCGACGATACCAGAGAGTGGCAGAAGCACATCATAACTCCCCACAGGTGATCCATCCCACAGCACCTCCCTGCCACCTCCCCTTGTCCTGAGGGTGACCCAAGCAGGGCTCAGCCAGCCGCCAGGGCTCAGGGCACCCCTGAGGATGCTCAGGTTGGGGAAGCTTCTGGAATGAGAGCCCCAAATCCTCCACGTGTCCAGCCCCCCGTGTTCCTGGAACACAGGGAGGAGAATCAAGATGGATTTCACATCCTCCCCCGACCCCAGCACTTACCCTGCAGGGTGGCTTCGGGCCGGCTGGCCCAGGGAGTCCCAGAGCCTCGCTTTTTCTTCTCCAGTGATGTCCGGATGTTGCTCTGCAGATTGTGAGGTTTCTCCTGGAACAGACCTGTCCCCACCGCCTCAGGAACAACAGGTTTCCCTGGCCAGGCTCAGGGCCAATGGTAGAGGCCAGACTGGTGGGATGGGTGTCAGGGCACTGAAAGGGTCTCTGCCTAACTGGCCAAGATGTAGAAGAGTGGATTTTGTCCTCTTGGGCAGGCCTATCCTGTGGGAGACCTGGCGGTGTGCACCCCACCTGTCTCCTCTGTGTCTCCCCCTTCCTATCAGGCAGAATGAGCCCATACCTCCACGAATGGTGTGAAGAGCCAACCAGGAAGTCATCTCTCTGGCACTTGGCCATGAGTCAGGCACAGGGAAAAGAGCTCGGCCCGAGGCCCCAGCTGCTGAAGCGGGTGTCAGCGCAGAGGTGAGGGGGGATGGCTGCTCTGGGGCGGGGCACCGACTGGCTTTTGTGTGTCTTAAACAAGACCCCACATGTTAGAATGTCGGCCTGGGAGTAATCTGGGAGAGCATCATTGTCAACCCCTGGAAGCAGCAGGCAAGGGTGTTGAGGGACCTGCCCAGGACAGGAGCAGAGCCCGAGGCTACCCTGTCGAAGCTGAAGCCCTTCTGGCAGCCACACAGAGAGGCCAGGCTTTCCAGGTGCTATCTGGGAGCTCTGAGGCCACTTGGGCTCAGGCCCCTGCAGCCTGGGAGCTGGACCCCAGTGGCCTGGGCTAGCAGAGAAGACAGCAGTCTTGTGCCCAGGCAGGGAGCCCAGGGCCTGGCACGGGGCCTGGCTGCCTTCAGTTCGGAGGAACTCTGGACACCTCTCTGAGCTGCACTAGTTTGCCACACACTCGGCTAAGGCCCTTACCCAAGCAAGGAAGGCAGCTGACGTAGCCAGGCTTAGCTCTGGCTGTGCCCACTCAGATATGGCCTTACTATTCCTCAGCACAGGCTCTGCCCTCTGCCCAGGTCCTCCCTATGCCCCCTGCTCTGGCCAACTCTTCTCTCTTCCTCTCCCAGCCTTGAACTTCCTGTTTTTCCAGTCTTAGTGCAGATGCCGCCTCTGCGAGGAAGCTCTTTATGATATCGTGCCCCAAGGCACCCTGTCTTCCTCCAGCGTCCACACTTACTATTACCCTGGCCTGTTCCTCACATTGGAAGCTGGTCTCTTCTGCCCCTATGTTTCCCCAGAGCCAGTGTGGAGCAAGAGCCCAGTGAGTATTTGTTTGATGGAATGTGAGGACACAGTGGCCTAAGGTCACACCGTGATGGGGAGCCCTGCCTGCTGGACCCTCACCTGAACAAGTGATGCAGGAGATGCCCTCGGCGCTCAGGTTGTACTTGAGGTCCAGCAGCACTTGGATGTTAGTATCGGGCCGGAAGAGCAGTGGTGCCCGGCTGGCAGGGCGGAGCCGGCTGGCGAACACCAGGGACAGGATGAGGGTGGACACAAAGAGCCCTATGGGGAAGGATGCTGTGCTGGGGACCAGGGAGAACCCATATGGTCCAGCCTGCCCTGTCCCAGATCAGGAATGCCAAGGGAGTGGGCAAAGGCCAAGTGCGTGGCTGGTAGGCAGTACTTGCTAGGGACAAGTGGCTGTCACTCTGGAGTCACTTGGGTCTGACTATAAGCTATAGCTTGGGTCCTAAGTGACCCTTGTAAGCACATATGTTAGCAGGCTTGGCCCTGGGTGCAGGTGCTATTGGGGTGGGGTGGCAGTGGAGGACCGGGTCCTTGGGGGCTGTGTTTTGTCCCCAGTGGCCTCCTCCCTACTTCCTAGACTAGGGCCAGTCAGGGTCTTGAGCACACAACAGTACATGAAGATCCAACTCCAATCCCACTGGAGAGGACGATGGCACGTGGCTCTTACTGAGCACCATCTGCACCAAGAGTCCCATGTGCTAAGCAAATGTGGCCCCGGACTCAGTGTCAGCTGCCTCAGAACCGGAGACCCAGTACCAGGCTGGCTCAGCGGAGGTCACAGATAGCACATGGCAGAATGGGAATCCAATCTATCAAACTCATCTCCAGAGCTCAGCACTCGCACTCGGCTCTGCTGCCAGCAGAAGGTCGGGTATACACACAGCAGGAGCTCACTGAACCATGGCCCTGGTGGACGGGGCCAGCTCTAGCCCAGGGCTCTCAGCTGCTGCTCCTCCTCCAAGCCCTGGGGAGAAGTTAAGGGGGGGGGGACTGCAGAAAGGGCGGAGCTGTTCAGAGGGGGCGGGGCGAGGGCAGGCACTCACCCACGATGACCCAGCGACTCTTGACCGCTGACCACAGGACCCAGTGGTGCAGCAGTTCCTGCAGCTGCCCCAGAAGCTGGCCCCGGCTACCTGTGTCAGGGGCTGGCTGCAGGCCTGTGGTGGGCACAGACACCAGGGACACATCTCCCAGCTCCAGCGACACTGCAGGGACAGAGCAGCCGCTGGTCAGAGGCGGTGATGAAGCCAGCCTAGTCCATGCCCTTTCCCAGAGCCCCATACAGGGTGAGGCTCATAGGCCGCCCACCCTCACCTCCTGGCGGCGCAGGGCAGCGCAGGCCTGCTCCAGCTCTCACCTGGCTCCTCATCCACGTTCAGCAGGGGGATGTCGTCGTCCAGGTAGGGTATGGGACCCTGGGCAGGGCTGTCCCCAGCTCGCTCGGTAGTGGCAAACACGTCCCCAGGGAAGTGCAAGGAGCTCTTACGGCCGCACTTCTGGTGGCAGCTACAGAGAAAGGAGGGGATAGGAGTGAGCCTGAGGGTGGAGCACACAGGGGACTGAGGAGCTGCTCATGGGCCAAGGAGAAGAATAACATCCACAGCAAAGAAATTCTTTCTACAGAAAAGAGCTGAGGAGCATGGCCTCAGAAGGTCCCACAGGCCACTGTGCCCTAGGACTACTGGGAAGGTGACCCAGGCTGGGGTCTCTGGGGAAAGGTTGAAGAGGTGCCTTCTTCCCAAGGTCCTCTGCTGAGACCATCAAAGAAATAACTGGGGCTGGGGAGATGGCTCAGTAGAGTAAGTGTTTCCCTGGCAAGCGCAAGGACCTGAGTTCAATCCCCAGTTCTGGAAAAAAGAAAGAGAAAAAGAAAGAACCGCTCTGAGGCAGCCTCATAATCTGTACCCCACACACACGGCCCCAAAAGGGTGGGCCACAGAGCTAAGTCTGAGCTCCATGCAGGCCCTTGTGCCTCAGGCCCCAGGAATGGCCAGCCCATTCCTCCAGGCCACCACCTGGACCTGCAGCAGCAACACTGGCCCGTCTGCCCTGCATACAGCTGCTGTGTCTGAAGGTTGCCCAGGGAGAGAGGCTGTCTCAGCTCTACCACGACAAAGCCGAGGATGCTGCCAGAGGCCGAGAGCACAAGGGAACCCAGAGCTGGGTGTTCTAGAATCAGATACCAGCCCTGCTGCCTATAAGCGGTGACTCTGAGCAAGCTGCCCACTTTCCTCAGGAGCAGCAGCCCGGCTCACCTGGCCCGGCAGGAGCCCTCCAGCGGCGCCAAGTACAGGCTCCAGAGGCCCAGCGCAGCGGGCATGGTGAAGAGCACGGCCAGCCAGCAGCAGGACACGATGAGTGACATGAAGAGGCCAAAGTCGTGCACAGCTGGGATCTGGAGATGGGGGTGGAGAGGAGCTGCTCAGGTCTGGGCCCTTGTGGCAGGGAATGCTCAGGACCCCAGGCCACTCTAGGCAGGGGCAGGATAGGAAGGCCACAGCCGCTGGATGCCAGCACCAGCAGCTGGGGCACTGCGGGGGTGGATGTACCCTCTCCAGCCTGGCCCAGAGATGGTGCTCACAGTTGTCATTTGCAGTGAATAAGGACAGGGAACACACATCCTACTTGACCTGGAGACTGAGGATATGTTTGTAAAGGGAAGAGTGAGGATGACACCATGTGACCAAAGTAGGGAGCCTGGGGACCAACCACATGGACTTGCCCAAGGATGTGCCAGTGGGAAGAAAACAGGATCAATGAGCAGACAAGCTTGCACATGTGAAATACGTGCACCATCATTCCATCATTCCCAGAATAATCCACAGGTGAAGAAAGTGAGACCAGAGGGGTCAAGTAACCTGCCCAAAGTCCCACAGCAGGACCTGAGTCTGCTTTGCCTGCTTGCTAGATCTGGTTCTCCAGGTTGGCCCTGAATCATTTCACAGTGCCCAGTGGTACTAGGTGGGCATTGGGTGGCTGCTGGGCTCAGTCACACACTCCTTAGAGACACTAGCCAACCCACTGAGTATCCTATTCTTTCAGTACCAAGGGCCCAGCCCGAACTTAACCCTTTTCCTGAGCCACAGAGGCCAGAGGCACAGGGGTCAGTGAGAGGAGGTCAGCGTGAGGGGTGAAAATGCAGAGAAGCAAGAGGCCAGGGTCAACAGGCCCCACCTATCGGCTGTGTGAGCCTGCAGAGGTCACTTTACCTGTCTGGTCCTAGTTTCTATACTAGAACATAGACATCGTCTTGTAATGAGATCTTCAGTAGTAAAGATTAAATGTGAACGAGTTTTAGAGACTCAGATGCTGAGCATAAAGGGAGAGTCACATGATGCTATCAGTAGCAGGGACCATTTTTATTATCATTTCCTACTTGTTAAGTTTTGGTGATGGTGATCCTGACAGAAAGGCTCTGAGGAGGCACAGCAGGTATGGCATGGCCGTGGCAGGGTGGGCAGAGGAGCGGGGTTAGAGTGGTGGGGGACAGCGTGGGTCAGCGGCAGCTCCCACCTGGGAGAAGACGTTGGCGGCGTAGGCGGCGGCTGTGGTCAGGGAGGTGAAGAACGTGGCCCGGCCTGCCGTCCGGATGGTATGGATCATGCGCAGCTGCGGGTCCTCCAGGTGTGTGGCCTGGCGGTACGTGTTGATGAACACGAAGACATCGTCCACGCCTGCAGAAGGAGCCCCAGAGGTCACAGGCCAGGAGAGCCAGCTGCTCAGCTCAGGATGTGGACAGATTCACCTGACCAGTCACCTGCCCTGTCCCAGATCTCACCCTCCTGCCTACACATCCTTGGCTTCCCATCACCCTCACCTCCTTCCGGCTCTTTCTGCCCACCACTCCCGTGCTAATCCCTCTGTGTCCTGACACAAGGGAGGTGACTTACCGATGCCCACTATCACGAAGGCAGCCACCCCATTGAGGATGCCCAAGTACTGGATGCCAAAGACCACGTGGTACAGGAAGAGTGCCACCAGGCAACTGAGGCCGATACTGGCAATCCCGAAGAAGGACAGGAACACTGGGCAAGGAAGAGACACAGGCCCTGACATGGGGAGGACTAGTGCAGAACACACCTCTCATGCTGCCCCTGAGCTGGCCTGGGCACCCTCTGGCACAGCTTTCCATGTTTGAGAACTGACATTTACCATTAGCAGAGAAGTATGACTATTATGTGGGTAGTGTCTGCCACCTAGGTGGCCAGGAGTTTTGTAGGGAAGGAACTGTGCTAGATTTGCTGCTGGATCCAGGTGCCTCAAGCACTGGGCACATGGCTGGCGTCCAATTAGTGTTTGCTGCATGGATGACTGCATGGTTTTTCCATTTTAAAGGCATTACCTCTTCGTGCTCGCTTGGGCAACAGAGTGTGCCAAGCACATGCGGAAATCAGTAGGAAGCTGCTGGTGTACACAGGGGAGGAGGTGGAGGGAGAAAGCAAACTGGAGGCCAAGGGCAGCTGACTTGGGATATAATCAGGTTTCTGACTAATCTGTAACAGAACCCAGTCATCAATACAAGCTTAATAATGGAAAAAGGTCTAAAGACAAAAGGTCCTGGGGTGTGACTCTCAAGAATTGCCCAACATGCCTCCAGACCTATGCCTGCTTGCCTAGAACTGTAAGGTGACTGCTGAGCAACCCCTACTGCCCTGTGCTCAGCTCTGTCAAGCTGCATTCAAGACTATTCTGTTGTCCTCTAGCATGCAGGCTTTGGCTGGACAGGAGCACACTGGCAGGAGAGAGGGAGGCTGACTCCACGTGGGCTCAGGAGGCCCTACCTGAGCAGGAGGTGAGGATGTAGACAAGGGCGGCGATACAGCTGCTGCTGATGACGGCCAAGAGCATGTCATTGTTGAAGGTCCTACGCACCTCATAGTCGAAGAGGTCTGTCCCGCCATAGAGGACCTGAACTTTGCTGGTGGAGGGCAGGACATGGAGGGAGGAGAGGCAGGAGAGGGGCCAAAGCACAAAAATGCGTGTCATAATTAAATTGTTCCAAAATGTGGACCAAGAGAAAAATCTTCAAAGCAGTCTGAGAAAAAGAGACATATCACATACAGGGGAACAAAGATAAGGACAATAGCAGATTTCTCATTGGAAGTAAAGTAAGGTAGAAAACACTGAAGCAGCATTGTAGATACTGGGAAAATACCCCAGATTCTAGGTCTAACCTACATATACTTCATAAAAAATATTTTTTGCAGATAGACCAAAGCTAAAATCTGAAATAATCTCCAGGAAACCCACACTGCAATAAATGTTGGGTCAGAAGGCCGAGTTTTATTCCCAGTTTAAA